TCGTCGCCGGCCTCGCCGCGTACTGCGCGTTCTGCCGTCACCGCGACCGCGAGCTCGCGCGGACCGCGGCGACGCCGGACGACGAGGAGTCCAAGGAGTTCGAGTCCGAGGTGGCCCTCGATGTGATGAGTAAGAACATATAAGGTGTTGTTCTTACGTCGCTGCGCCGCCCGCGTCTCTCGCCCGCGCCGCGAGCGCGCGTGTGCTGTCATCGCTTCACGGAGAAGCTGGTCACGCCGGGCATCTGGAGCAGCTTCAGCTGCTTGTGTCCCTGCGCGGGGCGGCGGCGGTCGCGCGCGCGGCGGCGGCGAACGCGGGCGGCGCCGGCGGCGCGCGTCGCGGAGCATGTACTCGATGCGCTGGAACTCGCGGCGGCCCACGCTGTGGCAGCTGCGGGGGAACTCCGTCTTGACCATGTCCACGAGGCCCAGGGCGCCGTCGGCGTCCTTGGCGCGCGCCGAGCGCAGGAACTGGCGGTAGAGCGAGAAGACGGTCTGCCGCAGCGTCTGCTTCGCGGCCATCGCCGGCGGCGCGGCGCGGTCGCGCGCGCTGCTGCGTCGGCGCCGCACCGGCGACCCTTCGCGTGCGCTGCGGTCGGTGTGTTGCGCTGCGGCCACGGCTGTCGGCCTGGGCCAGAGCAAGCTGCTAGAGCTGTGCTCCTTTGCGGCAAGAATAATCGGCGACTTTTTGCGCAATGGGTCCGCCTGCCGACAAGCTCGCTCCGGCGCCGGCCGCCCAAGCCACTCCTGAACCCGCGCCGGCGACGAAACCGACGCGCAAGTGCGCCGCACCCGTGCTCGCCGCGGCCGAGCTCGACGCGCTGTGCGGCAACGTCTTCGCGTCGTGGGTGCTCTCCGCCGACCGCAAATCCGTATCCAAGCGCATCGTGGCCAAGAACTGGGCGGCGGCGCTCGCCTTCATCAACAAGGTGTCGGAGGCCGCGGAGGAGGCGAGCCACCACCCGGACGTGCACCTGACGAACTGGCGGCACGTGGACGTCGTCCTGACGACGCACGCGACCGGCGGCCTCTCGCGCCTCGACGCGTCCCTGGCGGCGGAGATCGACGCCATCGACGTCGACGTGTCGCCGAAGTGGCTCCGGGACACGGCGGCCCTCGAGGCCGCGGAGGCGCCCGCGGAGGCGCCCGTCGCCTGGGACGACGCGCACTACGTCGACGGCGGCGTCCCGGCGACGATGTTCGAGAGCTTTTCACTGGGGAAACGAAAAATTGTCACCGACGTGCTTGGTAGGTCAACGGCGGCCTCAACGGCGACTTCGCGGTCGCGGAGGGCCAGTCCGCGGAGGACCTCGTCGCCAAGTTCGCGGGCGGCGCCGACGGCGGCGGCGGCCTCTTCGAGAACTCGGAGACGCGCGACATCGCGCGCGCGAAGCACCACATCGTCGCGGCCCTCGTCGCGCACGCGGGCGTCGGCGCCGGGTCCGCGGTCGCGGACGTCGGCTGCGGCACGGGCCTCCTCCTCGCCGACCTCTCGAAAACCGTCGGGCCGTCGGGCGCGGTCGTCGCGTCCGAGCCGGCCCCGGCGTTCCGCGCGCTCGCGGCCGCGCGCGCGGCGCGGTTGCCGAACGTCGCCGTCGTCGACGCGCCGTCGGCGACGGACCCGGGGCTCGGCGACGGGGCCGTCGACTGCGCGCTGCTCGTCGACGTCTACCACCACTTCGAGTACCCGCGGACCATGCTCCGGACGCTGCGGCGCGCGCTGCGGCCCCGGGGCACGCTCTGCGTCGTCGACTTCCACAAGGACGTCGCCCGCGTCAAGTCGAAGACGCCGGACTGGGTCGCGCGCCATTTGAGGGCGGACCAGGCGACGTTCCGCGCCGAGATCGAGGCCTGCGGCTTCACGCACATCGCGGAGCCCTTCGTCGAGGACCTGCCGGAGAACTACCTCATGGTCTTCCGCAAGACGCCCCTCGCGCGCGTCGGCGACGGCTGGGGCCAGCGCGCGAAGCGGCCGCGCGACGACGCCCACTGAACATGAACCTGTTTATCTCGGTGTTTACCTCGCGTCGCGCTTCTCGGGGAGGCCCTGGAAGATGACGGCGACGTCGATGAAGTCGCCGGTCTGGAAGTGGAGGTCGCGGAGCGTCTTGTTCTCGACGGCGTGCGCCTGCTGGGGCGCCTTCGTCGCCCAGACGTAGCCGACCTCCTTCATCGCGTTGCGGCCGAGCCGGTCGGGGTAGACGATGGCGAAGCTGAGCTGGCACCGCGGCCGCCGCGTCTCCGCGCGCTCGTGCTTGACCATGTCCGCGAGCTCGCGCAGCGTGCAGTCCTCCCAGGCGTAGAGCCGCAGCTCGTTGGGCGGCGTCACGCCGCTGCCGGGCGTGTCGCCGTAGGCCTGGAGGTCGTTGTGGCGCCGCTCGCTCCAGAAGACGCGCAGCAGGAACGGGCACGTCGCCGCGCGGTCGACGGCCTCCGGCGGCGGCGCCGGGGAGGCGGCGGCGTCGTCCGGCATCGGATCGGCGCGCGCAGAGCTCGGCTGCGGCAGTCGCAGAGGCGTGTGGCAACTCGCTGAGGAGACGCCGTTGTATCGATGTTGCCCTTCTTGGCTCGTGTTGCGGATATGCTGGGCGTTGAGCATTACTTAAAAACCGGAGCCAACGCAGCGTTGCTGGCGGGTGCCCCCCACGTCGTGGATCCAGCGCTGAAGCCTGCCCCTGGTCGTGCTCCGTACGTGAGAGCCTCGGCCGCCCGCAAGTCCAGGGTGATGGCGCGCCTCGTGGTGGCCGCGGCCCTCCTCGTGGGCGGCGCCGAGGCGACGAGCTTCTCGGCGGCCTACCAGCACAACACGTGCGACGACTACGGGACGAACTACGACGACGTCTACACGGGCGCCGCGCTGGGCTTCGAGTTCGATTCCCTCGCGTCCACGTGCTGCTACATCTACGACGCCAACGCCTGCTCCCACACGCCGACGGGCGTCCCGTCGCCGATGCCCTCGAGCACGCCGACGTCCGCGCCGACGCCGCTGCCGACGATCTCCTTCATGCCGACCTTCATGCCGACGTCCGTCCCGACGACCGACCCGACGTCGACGCCGACGAGCTCGCCCACGAACATCCCGACGCCCGTGCCCACGGGCGTCCCGACGTCCGTGCCCACGAGCGGCCCCACGAACATCCCCACGATGCTCCCGACGACGATCCCGACGTCGCTGCCCACGTCCACGCCCACGGTCTCGCCCACGGTCGCGCCCACGGTCTCCCCGTCGCTCAAGCCCACCGACGGTCCCACGGTGTCGCCGTCGCCCGCGCCGACGCCCGCGCCCTCGACGGTGCCCACGCCGGCGCCCTCGCCGGCCCCGTCGCCCGCGCCGTCGCCGATGCCCTCGACGCCGCCGACGCCCGCGCCGTCCGCGACGCCGACGCCCGCGCCGACGCCGATGCCGTCCGTGCCGCCGACGCCCGCGCCGACGCCGTCGCCCTCGACGCCCCCGACGCCCGCGCCGTCGCCGGTCCCGTCGCCGGAGCCGTCGCCGGCGCCCTCGACGGTGCCGACGCCCGCGCCGACGCCCGCGCCGTCGCCGTCGCCCACGCCGGCGCCCTCGACGATGCCGACGCCCGCGCCGTCGCCGTCGCCCACGACGTCCCCGACGCCGTCCCCGTCGACGATGCCGACGCCCGCGCCGTCCCCGTCGCCCTCGGTGTCGCCTACGCCCGCGCCGTCGACGACGCCGACGGTCTCGCCGACGCCGTCCCCGAGCATCTCGCCCGCGCCGACGGTCTCGCCGACCGTCGCGCCGACGATGGGCCCGACCGCCACCAAGGATCCCTCGCCCGCGCCCACGCCCGCGCCGTCTCCGTCGCCTTCGACGGCCCCGACGCCGGCGCCCACGGTCTCGCCGACGCCGTCCCCGTCCGTGTCGCCCACGGTCTCGCCGACGCCGTCCCCGACGCCCGGCCCGACCATCGGCGACTGCAAGTCCATCATCACCGACATCTGCGGCTGCACCTACGTCCTCGACCACCTCTCGTGGACGATGCCGCCGACCCCGTCGCCTACGATCCCCCCGACGCCCCAGCCGACGACGCCCGCGCCGACGGCGACCCCGACGCCCGCGCCGACGCCCAAGCCCAGTCTGACGCCCTTCCCGTCCGGCACGCCCACGGGCGCGCCCTCGGGCACGCCGTCGACGCCGCCGAGCCCGCACCCGTCGACGCCGCCGAGCCCGGCGCCCACGGAGATCCCGACGGTCCGCCCGACGCCCGTGCCGACGACGCCGCCGTCGCCCGTGCCGACGCTGCCGCCCACGGGCATGCCGACGCCCGTGCCCACCTCCGCGCCCACGTCCATGCCGACGGGCACGCCGACGGCCATGCCGACGCCCGTGCCCACGGGCGTGCCGACGCCGGCGCCCACGACCACGCCGACCGCCGAGCCCTCGTCCGTGCCCACCGCCGTGCCGACCGCGCTCCCGACGGGCTGCCCCTCCTCGGAGCCCTCGCCCGCGCCGACGGGCGTCCCGACCTCGGAGCCGACGCTCGCGCCCACCTACGACACGCCGGAGCCGTCCGGCGTCCCGACCTCGTACCCGTCGTTCACGCCGACCGCCGAGCCCACGTCCAACCCGACGTCGGTGCCGACGGGCATGCCGACGACGCCGCCGTCCCCGGAGCCCTCGTCCATCCCGACGTCCGAGCCCACGTACATGACGGAGCACCCGTCCGGCGTGCCGACGTCCGTGCCGACGGGCGTGCCGACGTCCGAGCCGTCCTTCGCCCCGTCGTTCCCGCCGACCTCCGTGCCGACCTCGGTCCCGACGACGCCGCCGTCGTCCCTGCCCACGGTCCCGCCGACGTCCGCGCCGACGTCGCGCCCGACGGGCATGCCGACCTCGGTCCCGACGTCCGCGCCGTCCATGATCTGCCCGAGCCTCGCGTGGCTCAGCGGCGAGTCCGACGCCGACAACATCAAGAACTCCGGCTCCCTGGACGTGCGCGACGTGTACATCGACGCGTGCTGCCGCTTCAAGGTGACGCCGTGCCCGTCGCCCGTGCCGACGCCCGTGTCGGAGACCCCGACGGGCGTGCCGACGTCGGTGCCCACGAGCATGCCGACGGTGACGCCGACGTCCCAGCCGTCGACGCCGCCGTCGCCGGCGCCGTCCGGCGTGCCGACGGGCGACCCGACGCCCGTGCCGTCCGGCTCCCCCGAGCCGACGGCCTCGCCGACCATCGCCCCGACGCCGTCGCCCTCGACGGTGCCGACGCCCGCGCCGTCCGCCACGCCGACGCCCGCCCCGACGCCCGCGCCCTCGGCCACGCCGACCCCGGCGCCGACGCCCGCGCCGTCGCCGAGCCCGACCGCGTGCCGGTGCACGATGGACTACGGCTACGCGCAGAACTACGGCAACTTCTACTACAACCCCGACGGCCTCATCTCCGGCAGCCTGCCCGCGCTGAACATCGACACGAACACGCTCTCGGACGGGTTCACGTGGTCCGAATACCTCGCGGCCAAGACCTACACGGACGGCCTCTACATCAGCGGCATGTCCTACGACGGCCACTGCGTCTACAAGGAGCAGCCGGACCCGTCGGCGGCGCCGACGGCCGTGCCGATCCCGGCGCCGACGCCGCGGCCGACGACGGCCCCGGTCAACCTGCCGCCCGGCGAGACGGCCAAGCCGTCCCCGAAGCCGTCGCCCATGCCGACGGAGTACGACACGATCGTCGCGGTCGCGTCGGCCGTCGTCATGAACGGCCTCGACCCGGACGACTTCAACGCCAAGACGGACATGAAGATCGCCTTCCGGAAAACGATCGCGAGCATCATCGCGTCCGACGAGATCTGCCCCGGCGGCGCGGCGGACTACGAGACGTGCATCGGCGAGCCCGTGGCGACGCTCGTGCGCCGCCGGCGAGGCCTGCTCTCCGTCTCGGCGACGGTCGACTTCGACATGTTCGCGACGGTCGAGGGCTCCACGGGCGCGGTGACGGCCGGCGACGACATCCTCTCGGACGTGACGACCGCGCTCACGACGTCCGTGTCGGACGGCTCCTTCGCGTCCACGCTGACCACGGAGGCGGCGGCCACGGGCGGCGACGCGAGCACGGGCTTCGCGTCCGCGGCGGTCGACGTCACGGCGTCGACGACGGCCATCGCGGCGTCGACGGTCGCGATCACCGTCGACACGCCGCTGCCCTCGCCCGACCCGACGGCGGCGCCGTCGATCTCGCCGGCGCCGACGCCCGCGACGCCGGCGGGCGGCGGCGGCGGCGACGACGACGACAGCGGCGCCATGGTCATCATCATCGTCGTGGTGGTCATCGTCGTCGTCCTCGCCGCGGGCGCGGGCGCGTTCTTCATGATGCAGAAGGGCGCCGGCGGCCAAGTCAAGCCGAGCGGCTAGAAGCGGCGCGGCCGCGTTCCACAAGACCAAGTCCTTCGATTTCCCCCTGGATGACACCCTCCTCCCCCGACACGGCGCGAGCACCCCTCACCTCCCCCGAAAAAAACACCGCCCGCCGACCCGGACGCCGGAAGGCCGCGGCCGCGGGGGCCCGCCGCGAGACGGCGGGGCCCCGCCGCCCGCGCGCCCAGGCCGCAGCTTCCGCCCCCCGATCCTCCCCCGGCGTGCACTCGCCGACATAACCACATCACCACCACGCCACTAGACGCGCCGGACGTCCTCGAGGTCGAGGTCGATAAAGAGCTGCTTCCAGGCCGCGAGGAGCGGGACGAGCGCCGCGTTGAACGCCTCGAGGTCCCTTCTGACGACGGCCGGCCGGTACTCGGCGGGCACCTGGGGCGCGACGGCGACGAGGTAGGCGTCCCACGCGGGGACGTTGTTCAGCGCCGCGCCGAAGACGCCCCGGAGGAGCCAGCCGTGGACGGGCTCGAGCTCGTCCGCGTACGCGCGCTTCGCGGCGGCGGCGAGGGCGACGGGCCCGTCCGCCGCGAGCGCGTAGCGGTTGATGCCGACCTGGAACGCGAGCGTCCGGCGGAGCCAGAGGAAGCCGACGGCGACGGACGGGTCCTTGAGGACGCCCCCGGGCTTGTGCGCGCGCTTCTCGGCGCGGAGCGAGGCGGCGAGGGACGGCGCCGCGTGACGCCGCGCCTTGGCCGCGTTCGCCCGAAAGTCCTTGACGCCGAGCGCCATCGCGGGGCCCAACGCGGCGAGCACGCCGAGGAACGCGTCGCAGGCGTCGAGGATCGCGGCCGCGCCTAAATCGCCCGCGGCGGCGAAGCGCGTCGTGACCGCGGGCAGCGTCGACGTCGCCTCGCAGGCGATGGCGAGCAGGGCCGCGTCGACGGCCAATGTCACGTCAGACACGTCGGCGGCGGCAAATTCCTCGGAGAGCCGCAGCGTCATGCGCCAGGGCTTTCGCCGCCGCCGCCCGCAGAGGCCGCGCCGCGCGGCGTTGTCGCGCGTCCAGGCGAGGCAGACGCGGCCGCCGTCGGCCCAGGCCGCCGTCGCGGACCCCGCGGCGGCGTCCGGTCCGCTCGGCGCGGCGAACTCGGCCGCGCGCGCGCCGCGGACGACGACGCGCGTCGCCGCGGGCGGCACGAGCAGCTCGTCGCCCCAGGCCGGCGCGTGCGCGACGACGTACTCGCGGCCCGACGCCTCGAAGGCCGTCACGAGCGCGACGCCCGGCGCGCCGCGGTAGTCGCCCGTGAGCGTCGACGCGCGCTTCCCTCGCGTTCCGCGCTGCCGCTCGAGCGCCTCCCGCCAGGCCTCGCAGTCGCCCCCGCGGAACGCGTAGGTCCGCCCCTGCTGCGACGCCTCGCCCTCGCCGTGCTCGTCCGACGACCCCTTGGTCCGGATGCGCAGCGCGCCGTCCTCGACGGCGGCGCGCTCGACGTCGCCCAGCGCGACGGACCCGCGGTGGTGCCCGAAGAGGCCGCCGTCGCCGAACGCGAGGCCGTCGCCCGCCAGGAGTTTCGACGCTGTCGTCTCCGCGGGGTCCCCGCCGCGGAGGTAGTAGTGCAAGGCCGTCGTCGTCAGCACGACGTAGCGCGGCCGCCAGACGGGCTGCAGCAGCGGCCCGCCGCGCGTCAGCACCTCCAAGGGGCCCGTCTTCAGCACGCCGAGCGAGGGCGGCTGCTGCTGCTGCTGCGCCATGGTTGCTGCCTAAGTGTTGTTGGTCAGCGCTCTGGCATCGCGGCTATGAACAAGGGGCTGCCCAGACCATCGTGTGGTAGAAGCAGCGCGGGGCGATGTTTCCCCAGACGTGCCGCCGCGATCCTCGACGGCAAGCATGGCCAAGCTCCTCCTCTCCGCGCTCACGCTGTCCACTTCCACCGCGTTCGTCGGCGTCCAGCCGTCGGCGCCGGCGTCGCAGCTGCACGCCGCTGGCATCGAGGACTACATCGGCGCCGACATCGAGACGGCCGGGCTCTGGGACCCGCTGGGCCTGTCGAAGGACGCGGACCGGCTCTACCGCTGGCGATGCGTGGAGATCAAGCACGGCCGCGTGGCCATGCTCGCGACGGTGGGCTACCTCTACAACGACCTCAAGCTCACGCTCCCCGGCGTGCTGAGCCCGTCCGAGGGCATCAAGTTCGAGAACGTGCCGACCGGGCTCGCGGCGACGCACGGCAACCCCAACAGCGTGCCCATCGCCGGCTGGGTGCAGATGATCTTCTTCATCGGCGTCCTGGAGACGACGGTCTTCAAGCAGGACCCGGCCAAGGCGCCGGGCGACGTCGGCGGCGTCTTCTTCCGCCGCTACAGCGACCCCGCGGAGAAGGCCGACAAGCTCAAGAGCGAGCTCAAGAACGGCCGCCTCGCCATGATGGGCATCATGGGCATGCTCGTCACGGACCAGCTCACGGGCCTCGGGCCCGTCACCCAGCTCATGACCACCAAGGTCGTGCCCTTCTAGGCCCTAACGGCGCGACCGGCGGTCCCCGGGGCAGAGGAAGAGCAGTCCCCGGGGGCAAGAGAAAGGGCCCCAAAACTAGCGGCGCCGCGCGTGCCCCCGCTTCTGGGGGCAGGACGGCCCCGTGTGGCCCGGGCGCGCGCACCACGCGCAGTAGACGTCGTGCGTCTTGTGCCGCTTGACCTTCTTGCAGTCGAGGTGGCCGCACTCGCCGCAGGTCATGCACGTCGCGCCCGCGCTGAGCTTCGCCTCGCCGTCGACGGCCTCGCACCACTTCCAGCTGTGGCCCACGTCGCCGCAGGCCGTGCAGACCTCGGGCATGGGCCGCGGCGCGTCCCGGCAGTCGCGCGCCGCGTGGCCCGGCCGGAGGCAGCGGTGGCAGAGCGCCTCGGGGCACGCGTCCATGAGGTGGGCGTCGGACGCGCAGAGCGAGCAGCGCGGGCCCGCGCCGAAGAAGTCGCGGCCGCGCGCGGGCTCGCCCGCGCCGTCGTCGAAGTAGCGCGCGGGCGCCGCGCGCGCGCCGACCTTGCGCCGCTTGCGGTCCGGCGACCGGAGCTCGTCGTCGTCGCCCGCCGACGAAACGATCTCCTCGCGGGCCCGCAGGTCGCGCCCCTCGAAGGCCGCGCCGTCGAGCGCGTCCGCCGCGGCCGCGGCGTCCTCCGCGGACGCGTACGAGAGGACGCCGTAGCCCGCGGGCCGCCCGGCGTTGGGCCCGCTCCGGCAGACGGGCAGCTCGACCTCGACCAGGGCGCCGTGCTTCCTCGCGAGGCGCGCCAGCCGCTGCTCCGTCGTCGTGAACGGCACGTTGCTCACGAAGACGCGGAACGCCGCGGGCGCCTCGTCGGGCGCGTCGGACGGCGGCGCGTCCGACGCGTCGTCGCCGTCGGACGAGTCGGAGCCGCCGCCGTCGGACGCCGCGTCCGCGGGCCGCGCGGGCGCCTCGGCCGCGCAGCGCGCGGCGAACCCGGCGAGGTACGTGTCGTCGAGCGGCGCGTCCTCGAGCGCCGACGGCTCGCTCCGGATCTCGGACCGGTCGGTCTTGAGGAACTTGGCGCACCAGGCCGACAGCGGCCGCGGCGTCGCGCTCGCCGCGGGCTTCGCGGGCGTCGCGCCGGCCGCGGGCAGCGCCAGAGGCGGCGCGGCGGGCTCGGGCTCGGGGGCCGCCGCCGCGCCGTCGGGCGTCGCCGGCGGGTCGGACTCGTCGCCGTCCTTGCCCTTCTTGCCCTTCTTCCGGCGCTGGCGCTTCGCGCGCCGCTTCTCCGACTTTTCGGACCGACCCATTGGCTGGTCGGTCACTCACTCCTCGTCCATCGCCGAGCGAGCCGGCCGGTCATCTGCGGCAAGACGAGGCGGGTCCTCGGCGCGCGCGCGTTCCGCGTCGTCGACGCGCGCCACGCGCGCTCGCGACGTTGCCAGCGCGTCCGCCGTCGCGCACAGACACCGCCGTCGCGCACACAGACGCCAAGCGCCAGCGCTCCGGCGCAACGCACGATGGACATGGACACGGACGAGAGCGCCGCGCCTACCGACGGCGCCTGGAAGCGTCCGCGCGACGGCAACGAGATGGACGAAGCCTTCAAACGCATCCGCATCGACCAGAACCCGCCGCCGCCGCCGGTCGACCTGACGTCCGCCGCGCCGCCGGCGCACCCGCCGCTGCACCGTTCGAGCTCGGTGCCGGGCGCGGCCCGGGCCTCCGCGCCGCTCGCGCGCGCGAACTCGCTGCCGCCGGGCCGGCCCGACGCCGACGACGACGCGGAGGACGTCGAGGACTACGACTACGAGAACATCAACTCGTTCCTCAACGACCTGCACCTCGCGCGCGAGCACCGCCGCGCGTCCGTGGGCTAAAAGAAATAGAGGAACCTAGACGTAGATGCGGTACTTGCCGACGAGGGCGACGCGCTCCTCGATGGGCCGGCGGCAGAGCGGGCACTTGGGGTCGATGAGGTCCGCGCAGGTCGCGCAGACGCAGCGGTGGCCGCAGGGCAGGAAGACGAGGAGCTGGGCCGGGTCGTCGAAGCAGACGGCGCACTCCATGCGCTCGCGGCCCTCGCCCTCGCTCCGGAGCGCCGCGGCCTCGAGCTTGCGCCGCGACAGCGCGGGCTTGAGGAGCCAGGCCCGCGCGGCGGCGCACACGCGCCGCGCGTGCGCGACGGCGCCGGCGAGGAGCGCCGCGGCGACGCACAGGACCAAAGCGTGGTAGGGGAGCCAGCCCCTGAGCACGCACGCGGGCCCCGCGCGGCCGCGCGCGCCGCCCGCGGGCGCCGCGAGGAGGCCGACGACCTCGCCTAGGAGCGCGCAGGCCACGCACGTCGACAGCGTCGCGAGCGCGACGAGCGACGAGAGGAACCTGGGCAGGACAAGAGTGCGAAATGTCCAGCTTTGGAGGCTCCTCTCTCGGTCGTTGTCCACTCGCTTCGGCTCATTTTTGGACGAGCGATCATCTCTCGGAGCGTTCTCGACGCGTGGATGCTTTTTCCGGAACGCGCGCGCGCGGAACGCTCATCTTGAAGAGCACTTGAATCACTCTTTTCCCGCTCCGAGAGGCACGCGGCGTGGCCCGCGACGCGCGCGGCGAGGAGCGCGGCGCGGGCCGCGGCGCCGGCGACGCGGAGACCGACGACGCACGCCGCGGCGCCGGCGACGACGAGCGCGGCGAGGGGCACGGCGCGCACGGACGGCGACGCGGACGCCTCGAGGCCCCGGAGCGCGGCGACCGCGCGCCGGAGCTCCGCGGGCGCGGCCGCGGACGCCGCGGCGACGCGCGCGTCGACGTCCGCGCCGCCCGCCGCCGCGGCCAGCAGCTCCCGGAGCCGCGCCGCGGCGGCGCGCCGCAGCCGGTCCGCCTCGTCGCGCCGGGCCGCGGCGACGGATCGCGCCAAGGCGTACGGCGGCGAGATCGCGCCGACGAGCGCCGCGCTCAGCGCCGCGGCGCATGGCTCGTCGAGGGGCCAGGGCGACGCGTCGAGCGCGCGCACGAGGAAGTTGCGGTCCTCGAGCATGCGCTCGAGGGACGCGGCGCCCGCGCGCCACGCGCGCGCGGCGCCGGACGACGCGCGCGTCCACGCGGCCGCGGCCTCGCGCGCGACGGCGTCGAGCTCCGTCGCGTTCACGCGGATGGACACGGCGGGGAAGGCGAGGCTCGGCGGCTCCGGCTCCGGGCGCAGCACGGGCGCCTCCTCGACGACCTTGGGCTCGCGCACGAGCAGCACGCGCTCCGTCGACGCCGCCCCGACGGCGGCGACGGGCAGGTGCCAGAGCCGCATGATGCGCGCTCGAACCCGCGTGGCGTTGCGGGGTCTCCGCTTACGAGTCCGAGACCATCGGCCGCTTCGGCGGGCATCCAGTGAGGGCAGCCCCGACAAATGGTGACTCCGTGCGGCTGCAACTTGTCGACTTCAGAGTCAATGTTGAGGCCGACGCCGAAGCGAGCTTGTGTTGAGCCCGAGGCCCCGAGCCCGATAGCACACGGTGCCTCGCGACGTGCCCCCGCGACCCCCGAGGCAGAGCGGGTTTCTCGAACGCGCCCAGGAAACTCTCTCGAGACACGCGGTGACAGGAGCGCCGCCCCGCGAAGCGGTGCGAAGTGATGTCGGCGGTCGTCGCGGCTAAGGAGGCGCCCCCGGTCCCGGCGACCAAGGACGCGCCCCCGTCGCCGAGCAAGAAGGAGAAGGGGAGCGAGGAGAAGAAGAAGCGACGAGGGGGGCGGGCGAACCGGTCGAAGAAGGACAAGGACAAGGCCAAGGAGGCGGACGCGGAGGCGACGAAGTCGTCGTTCGACTGTTCTTCCGCCATCGCCAAGGTCTCCGAGAGCCTCTGGGTCTCAGCGGTCTCCGGCACGCGCATGGGCGCGAGCCTCGAGGCGCCGCGCCCGCGTCCCGCCGCGCCGCGGGGCCGCCGCGCCGTCGCGCCGCGCGCCGCTCGCCCGCCGCGCCGCGCCGCGACCCTCGTCCCGCGCGCGCGCGCGCGACGCCGCGGCCCCGCCCGCGCAGGCGACGCTCCTCGAGTGCGGCGTGACCGCCGTCGTGTCGACGCTCGACAAGTCGCAGCCCCTCGAGACCTTCACGTTCCTCGACGTCGACACCTCGGCGCCGGAGTGCACCGGCGCGCTCCACGAGGCGTGCGACTTCATGAACGAGAACATCGAGGAGGGCGGCGCGGTCTTCATCCACAGCCGGAGCGGCTTCGCGCGGAGCGAGTGGGCCGTGGTGCTCGTCGTCGGCTACCTCGTCAAGTACGAGTCCGTGAAGCTCCGCGACGCCGTCGAGCGCGGGGCGGCACGAGGGTGATTCAACGTCGCTTCAACGTGAGTGTTCCGCGCGCGCGCGTTTCGGAAACAGCACCCACGCTTCGAGAGCGCTCCGAGAGATGATCGCTCGTCCAAAAATCCGCCGAAGCGAGCGGAAAACGACCGAGCTAGGAGCCTTTGAAGTTGGGAATGTCGCACCCTTTTCCTGCCCAGGTCGAGCGCCTCGCGGCCGCGACGAAGCGCGCGATCGCGCCCGCGAGCCGCTTCCGACGGGAGCTCGCCGAGTTCGAGGAGGAGGCCCTCGGCGAGGCGTCCGTCGACGAGGAGTGGATCGAGGACGCCGCGGACGTCGACGACATCAACCACACGCTGAGTCGGCAAAAGCTCGCGGAGAACCTCAACGACAGGCGACTCCTCAAAAAGAAGAGCCCACACAAATGAGACCGCGCGCCCGCCCGACGGGGGCGCGCGCCCGCCCGCGCCGGCGCCGCCGGCCGGCCCGAGGGCCGGCCGCCGGCCGCCGCGCGCGCGGCGCCGCCCCCGTCGGGCGAGCGCGGGGCGCCCTGTGCCTGCGCGGCGCC